AGAGGGAGGAGGCGGGCCGGGGCCGACGCCGACCTACCTCGGAAGACGGCCAGGGTGCCGTTCGGCAGGGCCACCATGCCGTTCGCCGGCTTCCCGCTGCACAGGTCCTTCTCGTCCTTCGCTGCAAAACACAGTGGCTTGTGTTTGTTCAACATTTAACAGAAAGCGCGTTACCTCCCCTGCCCAACGCCAGTAGCACTGCGGCTGTTAAATGTGATCGCTTGTGTCGGGCCAATGTTCAGGGCTCTCTGTCATTCAGGCCTCTGCCTCGCATTTGTCATGCAAAGGGTTTAATTACTCATTTGAGAGATATTCTTGGAAAGTTTGGCTCTCGTGTTTTGGTCCCAGGAGTGCAAGAGCAGCCGTTTACCTGACTAGGTATGGATATCATCACTTATTGCTTACCTGAGTACCTGTAATTCAGAAAAAGACCTATAAATGTACTGTATGCTATGTTCCTCACTTAATTTCTTCATGCTCCGGGATGTTTACTTAATGTTTCTCCAAGCTGCTCTAGTGGGTTTCCCTCCCCCTCCTTATTTCTTAAAAAAAGCATTTACATTTACTTTCAGTTAAATATAAAGGAAGGTTGAATCTGTTTTGGACAAAAAATCCAAGTATTTTCCATCTAAAAAACTTTTTTTTTCCAAAATATATGTCAATATATGATTGAAAAATTGCCCAAGAACCTAGGGGCTATATCTGATTAAGGTAAACTGTGAGGACATGAAAAATGTGGTGGCAAAAAGCACAGAGGAAAGAGAATACAAGGAAAAGACTTCTTGTCTGTCTTACGTGACATGTTTTGTATGTGACTACAAAATGACAGGTTAGGTACCATGAGTAATGGTGGATATTCAGCCTGACTCCCTAGCAATGTTTTCATGGGACTTAGAAATGTATCTTATTTGTCCTTGACTTTCTGTGTTTGCATCTTCCACAGTACTTACAGCAAACGTTTTTCGGCTGGACCAATTACTGAAACAAGATCATGCTCTAAACTACATGGAGAATTTCCGTAACAACACGACTGAAAACTGAGGTACCAGTATTCAAGATGTGGGCAGCTGTAGCACCGGTGTCATGGTTGACCACTGGGAGAGGAGTGCCACATTCTTCTGGCAACCAGATAGAAAGGTCTTGCATGTCCTTTACTCATGTGTTTTGTTGTGCTCTCTGGATGAGTTACGGGTGCTTTTGTACCTACTGGAATGCAATTACCTTCTGTTTCTCCAGTTAAAATTGGCAAGTCCGCAGTTTGTATAAAAGGCTTGTTGTTTATCTCAGGCTGTTCTCTTACTGGCAGAGTTTCAGGGTCGGATGGATAAGACTCATCTCTTGTGTCAGTAACCTCCTGGAAATGTATAGTTGGCTTGGATGTCCCTTTAGAAACAATAAACATTTCTTCTATCGTGTCTTTTTTATCTCTTGTAGCGGTCTCTTTGGTAACTGTAGTTTCCTCTCCCTTGTCAATACTAGGGGCCTTTTCAGTGGCATCTTCCATTTCTTTTTCAGGTGTGATGCTAGTTTCTTTGATGGTCATTACCTCTTTTTTATCAGTTGTCTCTACAACAACACAAGTAGTACTTGTGCTCTCTTTAGCTGCTGCTGTTACAGTCTGCTTAGTTTCCATAGTTGTGTCTCTTTTAGTTGTTGTCACAATCTCCCTGGGTTTAGGAGTTGAATCTGTTTTGGCAGTTGTTGCTAACACAGTGGGCTTGAGCATGGGAGTTGCAGCTGCTGTTGTTACAGTTGCTGTTCCCCCAGGGCTTTCTTCTTTTTTAGCTGTTACAGTCTCTTTTGGTATGGGAGTCTTGTCTTGTTTAGCTGGGGTTGCTTCTTTTTCTGCAGCCGTTGATGCAGTCTTTTTATCCGCAGTACTTGCTTCTGATTCAGCTGCTGTAGTGACAGCTTGCTTGGCTGTAGGAGTTGTGTTTGGAATATCGTCCTTACCTTTAGGAAAGTCATCAGGTTTAGCTGTTACCACCATAGTTACAGTAATTGTGTCTTTCCTACTTGTTAAAACATCTTTAAGCATAGTAGTTTTGTCTTTCTTGGGTGTTGTTATCTCTTTGTTCACTGTGGTTGTTTCTATTGTAGTTGTCAGCTCTTCAGTTACAGGAGTAGTAACAGTTTCAGCTGTTGTTTTGTCTTTTTTGTCAGTTACTGTTACAATCTCAGTAGCCCTAGCTGCAGTTATCGCTGTCCTTTGTACTGCTGTAGTCGTGTCTTTTGCAGTTGTGCTGGTTGATACTTTGGGTGCAGGAGTTGTAATTTTCTTCTCTGCTGTTGTTTCTGAAACTGTTGTGTCTGCTTCAGGTATGGGTGTTTCTTTCCTGGTTATTGTGACCGCCTCACTGCTTTGAGTGGTTGTGTCTTTTTTAGCAGTTGTTACTAATGCAGGGACAGTAGTTGTCAGTTCAATAGGTGTTGTTTTCTGTATGGCAGTGGTGTCAGCCTTAGTGGCTACAGGGGTAGTCCCTTTGACCTTAGGGGTGGTGGGAGAGTCTGCCTCCTCCACTTTAGGGGTGGTGGGAGAGTCTACCTTGGTTGTTGGTGCCTCAGGGGTTGTCTCTTCAGCCTTGGGGGTAGTGGGAGAGTATGCCTTGGTCGTTGGTGCCTCTGGGGTTGTCTCTTCAGCTTTGGGGGGGGTGGGAGAGTCTGCCTTGGTTGTTGGTGCCTCAGGGGTTGTCTCTTCAGCCTTGGGGGTAGTGGGAGAGTCTGCCTTGGGCGTTGGTGCCTCTGTGGCCTCAGGGGTTGTGTCTTCAGCTTTGGGGGTGGTAGGAGAATCTGCCCTGGTCATTGGTGCCTCTGTGGCCTCAGGGGTTGTGTCTTCAGCTTTGGGGGGGGTGGGAGAGTCTGCCTTGGTCGTTGGTGCCTCTGGGGTTGTCTCTTCAGGTTTGGGGGTGGTGGGGGAGTCTGCCTTGGGCGTTGGTGCCTCTGTGGCCTCTGGGGCTGTCTCTTCAGCTTTGGGGGGGGTGGGAGAGTCTGCCTTGGGCGTTGGTGCCTCTGTGGCCTCTGGGGCTGTCTCTTCAGCTTTGGGGGTGGTAGGAGAATCTGCCCTGGTCATTGGTGCCTCTGTGGCCTCTGGGGCTGTCTCTTCAGCTTTGGGGGTGGTAGGAGAATCTGCCCTGGTCATTGGTGCCTCTGTGGCCTCAGGGGTTGTGTCTTCAGCTTTGGGGGGGGTGGGAGAGTCTGCCTTGGTTGTTGGTGCCTCAGGGGTTGTCTCTTCAGGTTTGGGGGTGGTGGGAGAGTCTACCTTGGTTGTTGGTGCCTCAGGGGTTGTGTCTTCAGGTTTGGGGGTGGTGGGGGAGTCTGCCTTGGGCGTTGGTGCCTCTGTGGCCTCAGGGGTTGTGTCTTCAGCTTTGGGGGTGGTAGGAGAATCTGCCCTGGTCATTGGTGCCTCTGTTGCCTCTGGGGTTGTGTCTTCAGGTTTGGGGGTGGTGGGGGAGTCTGCCTTGGGCGTTGGTGCCTCTGTGGCCTCAGGGGTTGTGTCTTCAGGTTTGGGGGTGGTGGGAGAGTCTACCTTGGTTGTTGGTGCCTCAGGGGTTGTCTCTTCAGGTTTGGGGGAGGTGGGAGAGTCTGCCTTGGTCGTTGGTGCCTCAGGGGTTGTGTCTTCAGGTTTGGGGGTGGTGGGAGAGTCTGCCTTGGTTGTTGGTGCCTCAGGGGTTGTGTCTTCAGGTTTGGGGGTGGTGGGAGAGTCTACCTTGGTTGTTGGTGCCTCAGGGGTTGTGTCTTCAGGTTTGGGGGTGGTGGGGGAGTCTGCCTTGGGCGTTGGTGCCTCTGTGGCCTCTGGGGCTGTCTCTTCAGCTTTGGGGGTGGTGGGGGAGTCTGCCTTGGGCGTTGGTGCCTCTGTGGCCTCAGGGGTTGTGTCTTCAGCTTTGGGGGTGGTAGGAGAATCTGCCCTGGTCATTGGTGCCTCTGTGGCCTCTGGGGTTGTGTCTTCAGGTTTCGGGGTGGCGGGGTCATTGCTTCCTCTGTGACTTCAGGGGTCGGCTCATCAGCTTTGGGGGTGGTAGGAGAGTCTGCTTTGGTCATTGGTGCCTCTGTGGCTGCAGGGGTTGTCTCTTCTGCTTTGGGGGGGGGGGGGGAGTCTGGCTTGGGCGTTGGTGCCTCTGTGGGCACAGCAGTTTTCTCTTCATCTTCTGGGGGGCTGGTGTGAGAGTCTGCCTCAGTCATTGCTTCCTCTGTGACTTCAGGGGTCGGCTCATCAGCTTTGGGGGTGGTAGGAGAGTCTGCCTTGGTTGTTGGTGCTTCTGTGGCTGCAGGGGTTGTGTCTTCAGCTTTGGGGGTGGTGGGAGAGTCTGCCTTGGTTGTTGGTGCTTCTGTGGCTGCAGGGGTTGTGTCTTCAGCTTTGGGGGTGGTGGGAGAGTCTGCCTTGGTTGTTGGTGCCTCTGTGGCTTCAGGGGTTGACTCTTCAGGTGTGGGGGTGGTGGAAGAATCTGCCTCGGTTATTGGTTCCTCTGTGGCCTCAGGGGTCATATCTTCTACTTTAGGGGTGGTTGGAGGGTCTGCCTTGGTTGTTGGTGCTTCTGTGGCTGCAGGGGTTGTGTCTTCAGCTTTGGGGGTAGTAGGATAGTCTGCCTTGGTCGTTTGTGCCACTGTTGTCGCAGGGGTATCTTTCTGAGCCGTGGTGGTCTCTTTGGTAGTTGTTGCTTTTGTGGTAGTACTTGTAGTAGGTGGTAAACTGGGTTTTGGAGTAGATGTAGTTGCTTTGATAGGTGTGGTTGTATCAGGGTGTTTTGTGGTTGGAGCAGGACTGGTCACTTTGTTTTCCAGTCCACTGCCAGTATCTATGAGAACAAATATATATTAAGTTAAGACATTGGAATTGCAGTGCATGCACTTATTGCACATTAATTTATTATATCAAGTAGAAATACTTGCTTATCTTTTGACTAGCAATAGTTGTTTTTATTGTCTTTGCTCTAAAAGCTTTCTGTGTAAAATTGCACTTAATTAGCTTTAAAGTGGTTGAAACATTTATTTAAACTGGCAAAAAAAAAAAAAGGATACGTGGAAACCTAAGTTAAATTGATAAATGCCAGTTTATGGACTTAGGTAACTGTCCAAAGATAAATAATTTAGAAGAGCCAAATTAACCTGGACTGGGTTAAACGTGAATTCATTTTGTCTGCATGGGACTTTGCAGCAGCTTAGCTAAGTTTTAAGTAATCCTTTTGGCTAACCTGTCGCAACTCCAAGTACAGCATGGCAGTTTTTAGTTTAGTGTTTGTAGGTGAGGCCACCTGGTGTTTCCGTCCTTTTTCATGGAAAGGGAACCACGCTATAAAATATAGTCCTTCTAATGGGACACTTCCCTTCTCAGTCTGTTCTTTTATTTGTTCCTCTGGCCTTAATAAAAACATAGCCTGCACTATCACCTGGACTTGAAGGAGAGAGTTAGGGAAACAGGAGGAAAACAAACTTTCAGAGTACAGACACCTGACTGCATCTCCTACTGTATCTTTATAACTTGGGTGTTTTTCCTCTTTGTCATTTACAGCTTTAAGACTCTCTTTACTTGTGTATGTAGTTACACTGACTTAAGTACAATTGTTAGTATAGCTATATTCAGCAAAAACTAACAGTAAATGTTTCTGCATTTTAATCTTTCACTAAGTGTCATCTCTGTGATGTTTTGCTGTTTAGTTCTGTTTTCACATAGGGTTCTTTTCTATGATTCCTGCTGTGTTGCTGTCTACCATTACAACTGAATTGGCATTTGTTTCTTGAAAACCTGAAAAAACTAAAAGTGCAGCATCATGTGGTTTGGGGCCATGTTGTTCAGCTTTTGAACAAATCTAAAAAGATCTGAGCTGTTGCTGATGGTCACAGCCTGATGACTGTTAGCAGCACTGATGCAGCATCTCTCCCAGCAGACTGGAAGAAGTTATAATACTGCAGTGTGAGAAATAATCCCTGTGTAAATGTATTGTAGAAACAGTGCAGTATGAGCAGAGTGTTACAGAATAGGTTTTCCTCCCACCCAATGTGTCTGAAATACTGTAAGCCAAAGTGGGATCCTGTTAATGGTTATTTGAATTTCCTTAATATTGTTTCATTTGACCCGCTGTATTAATTTTTGTAATAGGAACTTGCCACAGCAGAAAGCTAAGTACTCAAAATAAAAATTAAAAAATGTAGGGATTAAAATATTGGCCAAAGTTGACTTTTAGTCTCATTTCATACTTGTTACTTCAGGTTTCAAGTTCAAACTGATCTCCCAAGTTATCACTTCAAATGCTGGAACAGAATATCAAAGAACACAGGAAAGCAACATATTTTCCATTCAGAAAAAATAAATTATATGCGTTTTCTGAAGCTGCATGAGGCCTGACTTGATTAAAGCTAGAGAAACCTGCTAGGAGACTTTCCTGCCCTGGGCCTGCCAATTCATCACTGTCCCAAAATACAACACCCTTCCTGTTCCAGCCGTGGACTTGGTCCAAAACTGACAACGGTGTGTAACATATTTTTGGAAGATGTGTGTGAAAATCCAATAGAGACGCAGGAAACATCACCACACTCCAACATCTGTGTTAAGTGAACTCTCCAAAGTCAGTATCCTGAGGTCTAGGTGAGGTAATTAGTTTATAAACTGAGTGGTTCCAAGCTTGGTAACTGTCTGGTAATGTCTTGCATCGGCTTTCTATTTCCAGAGCAGGAAAATGGTCTTTAATGTTCCTTCAGGTAACACCCATCCTGTTTCATTCATATGCTTGCCTACCTTCCATAACTTCATGGGGCTGTGTTACTTCCTCTGGCTTCTTCTCCTCATTTTTGGATGACCTTTTAGATGTTGACTTGTTTGCTGGAGGAGTCTTAGGTGATGGCGTTTCTCTGTGTGCTGAAATAAATAAAATAGTCTGTTAATGGGAGCGTTTTTCTTTATAGGTGCTTGGTGTCAACTGTATAAGAAGAAAGTGATTACAAAATTTCAGTGACCAGTTCCTATATAAATCTAAGTTTCTCCCTATCTATAGGATTCTTTAAAGTATTATTCAGGGGAAAAAGAGGAAAAATACCCTTTGGATCCCGAAGTGCTTAATCACAGACAGGAGAAATGTTTTTCCTGGAAGTTTGAGGTGAGGCATTCTTTGGTAATGTGAATTTTGAGGTGGGAAAAAGATGAATTCTGAGTGGAGCTCTACAGTCTGAAAACCTGTCTAATTTTTTTTGTCAGCTTCTTTTTTTGACTACAGATGTCTTGGGGCTTACTCACTGTAGTGTATCTCTGAGAGCTACCATATTAGCCAAGCATTTACTTTGATAATCCCCTGAAGATTTAGTTATATTGTAGTTCTTCAGACATGATAATTCTGCACATAAGCGGTCATTTCAGAGAGAACACCTTAAAAACAATAGTTTCCTTGAAAGAGACAGAAGCTACAAAGTAGGTATGGACCAAAGAAACAACGCAAGGTCTAAGTATTAAGTTAACTTCTAGTAGGCTGAGTTTTAGGAGAAACTGAAGGTTTGTGTTCAGATTTTCCAACTCTAAAGATTGCATGGAATTTCACTTGCATCCAGTAAGAGCCAGAAAATATTTTTTAATTCATTGTGGGGTCAAATTGTACAATTGGAAGTGAGACCCTCTCTTCCCACTAGCATAGCCTTGTAGAAGGATATTGTTAGTTGTGAAAAAAGCATGATGGAGCTTAGGGTACCTGCGGAATCTTTTAGATCCAACTAAGGGAGTTGGTAACTGCCATAGGTATGTATAATGAGCTTTTCACAAAAGGAGTAGTGGTTTTGTCTCATAAGGTGATGACCATGGTATCAAAGGATTTACTTTCATAGCAAGCTAGTACTCAAAGCAAATAAGGTTGGGTGGTGGACTATATCCTGAAGCTTTTACTGAGAAAGAGAGAGAAATTGTAATTGTTGCATAAAAACACTTTGGAAGCTGAATCAGCTTTCAGAGGAGTCAGTAGTGGCAGGAGGGGGAATGTTTAACCAGTTCTTAACTGTGTATGCATGTGTATTCTGGGGGTATAGGGCTTCTGGAGGATAGGAAAGATAAAAATGATCTCTAGATATAAATTGTAAACTTAGCTTCACTGTACAGAATAAAGTGTTCAGAAGATGCAGAAACAGCAAAATTAAAGTTCACTGCATGGCCTTAAGTTATTGCATTATTCCAAAAGGTTTGACAGGTTTCTCAGTTACTCACACATAGCAAAAATATCAAAATACTGAGTACAGTTGTAGGCTGGGTTTCGGGGATTTTTTGTTGGGGTTTTTGACAAAAATTAATAGCAAAGCTAAGTAACTAAAATACTAGAAGAAACTCTCTAAGATTAGGAGCAGTTGGTTAACTTTTCATTATATTTGAACTGAAGAACAGGTGAAAGAGCTAACTATAGTTTGTGGGCGTTCATGCGTGTTAAGCTCCAGCAGTAAGAGGGAGGAGTTAAGCAACCTCAAAGGCAGCAAATTCACCTAAAGACTCTTGGAAGACATTTATCCTCTTCTAGACATCCAGTCAAAAAATGCTGAATACAGAGTCTATTTCTGTATAAATTACTCTACAGCTGAGTAGCAAAACCAAGCCGCTATACCAGCACTTGGGGACTGGGAGTGCTTAGTAATGTGAACCAAATGATGAGCCGTAACTCATCTTGTTTGTTAAACTGCATGCTTTGGAAATTGGCTGCCTTGGAGGTAGTCTGGTCTGTGAATGCAGCAACCCAATGCCAAGCCATATTTGCCAAGTGTGTTCACAGACATGAATTTAGGTCCATAAGTAGCAAAAAGTTTAAGGACATGATGAAATGAAACATACTCTGTTGGTGTTTTCTAGACTAGAACTTAATTGCTGGTGTCGTTAAAGCTACATGAAGGTGAAACTGCTCCTCCTCCAGATCTGTGTCTTAGTGCTCAACTAACAAAAACCCATCAGGTTCTGCAATGAAGGACAGAATAAACAAAAGTAACTGTGGGTCAGAGTAATCCTTCCCTGAACTGAATTTGCAGCCTAAAGGTTAAACGTGCATTAAAATTCCTCTTGCTGCAGTGTGAATGTGTAACTGCTTCTAAACAGGCAAATCCTACAGTTCCTCCCTCTTGCCCCAGAGGACGGGTTTCTGTGTTGGGCTGCTCTTCCCATTTTGGATTCGAGGTGGGGAGGATCTAGGGGATCTCTTTATATATTTTGCCAGTGACTACAGTAACCCAAAGCAAGTGGTCTGGAGGTTCAAGTAGTGCTATCCCAATGCAGGGTATAGGTATTCTCCACTTTTGGATGGGTGGGGAATTTAAGGGAGTTGGACCTTCCCTCATTATTACTTTTTTTGTAAGGTGAACTAGACTTTTTACTGCAACGTGTCATTCATTTCTCCCAGCTTCTGTCCTTGCATTGTATTATTGATGTAACTTAAGCAGCATGAGTGGAAGTGCACGTGCGAAACCTGGCCTTAACATGTATTATTCTGGGTGACGGTTCTGATAGTAAATTAGAGTATGGCTAGTGCCAAAAGAGGCTAATGCAAAATAAAAATTTACCCTTGGAATTCGTAACTTGGTGATGGCTTCCAGTATATCTACCTTTATGCATCCATAAAGTAGTCATGCTTGAGAAAATGGCCGATTTATTTTTAAAATTAGGTATTGTTATTTTTGTTTTGTTTGTTGTTCAGTAGCTAACTTCTTGTGTCCTAAGAAGCCTGCACAGTTAATGTTTTATGGTAATGCAAAGCATCTATATTTAAATACATCTAGGGAAAATACAGTGATAAAAGAAATTTCTTACCCTCTTTACAGTGTTTCGTGTAGTCTGGGCAACATTTGCCGTATCTTTCACAGTCTGCATCACAGTCGCACTCTCTTCCTCTTTCAAAGGCTTCAAAGCAACGTCCTCTGCAGGAGACTGCTGCATAAGGCAGAACAAGAGAGTTAGTATTTTTGGCTAGCTCACATTTAATGCTGGGACCTTTCTACAGTGAAGTTGATTTGCTTAAGCTCATGTAAAGAACAGCTTCATAAAATCAGGTGGTTATTCTGGTCTGATCCAGAGCTTGTTTGTGTAACTGTGGGTTTTGGATCAGGCCGTACAACCAGAACTGCACTTTGCCATTGCAGTATATTGAGACCACTTAGAACTTATAGTGGGATAAAATGTGACCTCAGAGATCACTTTAGCTAGGTCCCGCCATTGAAGGCTTCCATTTCCCTAATCAAATAGCAGTTATCTCAAGAATAGTGTTTAAATTCTGGGTTGGGTTTTCAAAAAGATATTCATCAGGGTACCACTTTGCATCAAGAATGATGTGTCTACCATAAGCATTTCTAAAAAATAATTTGCAGAAATAGGTCATGACCAAGTGTACCTGGTGTCTCTGGGCAAATACTGCAACTTAATTGTGTGAATGAGTTAATGAAGGTACACAGAGTGACTATTCTTGAAAAGTTATCCTAGTCTATTTAATACAGTTATTAAATGATTAGTACTAAAGGAGTATCGACCATGTTTTGACACGATTAATAACCACATGCTTTTAATATTTCATTATTGATTAACTTCTGAGAACTTCAGTCACTACAGTACTTCTGTTTCATATCAAATAATGACCAAATTGTTTTGGAAAGTGTGCACAGCTATTACAGACTTCAGCAAAACATGCTTGCTGTATTTTTTGAGGACAAAATTTGACCCTAAATTTTACATTGCATTAAATTTACATTACATTAATGTTAATAAATATTAGATTGTAAGTAGTACCTTTAATAGGTACTAAGTTAACTTAAATTGAAGTGATTATGTTAGACCTGAAGTGGATATTTTTTGAGGATGCTTAGCATCTCACAGAATTGAGCCAACAATTAACTATCACTTGGTATTTCCAGAATTTACCATATGCTCTGTTATTCTTGTCCTGTATCTTTTCTGTACATAAGTCTCTATTGAAGTCATTGTCTTTGTGGCACGCAGGGCATAAAATCATATTTTACAATTAAATCACTATCTAGCAAAATTGGGATTACTGTATAGGCAGATTCTGAATGCCTTTTGACCAGTGTAAATGTGGAGTGAGTCTGTTGATGCCAGTGGATTCATCCCACATGCATAGGTGAGAATTGTTTTTATTTTATGATGTTAGGGCAGTTTTTATTCATAAACTATGTCTGGCATTTCTCTGATTTAGTCAGCATCGATCACACACTAACTGGGCAACGGTCCTTAGTCAGACTGCCTGCATCCTTTAAGGATGGTGCCTACTGTGCTTGCCTGAATTCAGTGATTCAGGGTAGAACAGGGAAAGCTTCCTCCAGCCTTAAACTTTTTGTTAAATGTTATGTAGATGCCAGAATGACTTTAGAATCTGGCCCACAATAAATAAATAGCCCACATAACTGAAAGTACATACTGAGGCATTTTAATTATGAAAAGTGCTGATATCCCCTCACAAATCAAAATCAGAATGGGGAAGACTGAAGTGTGAATTTCCAGTGTGCATGTCAGAATTAGCATTTTAGGGAGCACTGCGTCTGCATTTTGAACAACACTCGGCCTGTGTTGTTGAATCTGAGTCTTATCTTACACCTGTAACCTTACTAGAACTACAGTGTAGTACAACAGCTGCAGTTATCTAAATCACTGATACTTTTGACATTGGTGATTCGTAAGAAATTTTTTTAACTCTCAGTAAACCAGTTTGAAACACCTGTATTTATTTACACTATACAGTTTTACGTATAAATAAAGCATATAAAATAATACTCATCCAACCATCTTTTCCATCAAACTCTGGACGTGGTTCTAATCCAGAGTCAATTTATATCCATGGAAGGACACCCTCTGACTTTGGATTAGACCCTACAGCCTCCACACTTCTTAAATTTGAGTTGGAATGTCCCAGAATTTCTTCCTGGAAAACCCTGAATTTGCTTTTACCAATTTTTTGTATAAGAGAAACAGATATAGTACAAATGCACTAAGGAGAAGAAAACAAGCAGTAAGTAAACTGTTTCCCCCTTCTTGCCCTGCTCTGCTCTTCTGAAAAGCAAAATCCTTTTCTTGGTGATAACCTGTGGATACACAATTTTCTCTGAATGGGTTGCAAGAGGTTATCACTGAGTTTTTGAGGGGGAGAACAATACATGTATGAGAGGAGAACAAGGACACAGTGAACTAAAGAGACATTTAAGCATGCCGAGGACAGACACTGGTGTGGTAGGGAATTGGAGCAAACGGGAGGGAAAGTCTTGCCGATAGGAACTGGCTGTGTTGGGGAACTTACCCACTGTGCAGACTTTCTTGAAGTCAGGGCAGCACTCCATGTAGTGTTGACAGTTAAAATCACAGTGGCAGTCATGCTCTCTAGAATACCCTTCCCCACATCTCCCTGTACAGCTTGATAAATCTAAAATCACACAACACTGGTGTAAACATTGCCAAACCGAAATGGTACGTAAGGAAATGCTGAACAGCAAAGTAGTAAGATTTATCTTTTTTTTTCTACAGAATGCCATTTCTTCACTCAGTTTTGCAGAAACTGTGGGCCCGGTGCAACCTCTCCTGAATGCATGTGGATCAGAGGTTTGCTCTGAGCCAGCCTGAGGACTGGCAGCAGCATGCTCAGGTTAGAGCCTAACTTATCCTGTTTCTCCTGAAGATTAATGAATCTCTGAGGACTGGTTCAGTAATATGGCCACACCAGTTCTGGCATCCAAACTAGCCCATGCAGATTTATCTTAAGTAGTATATCAGCCAGGTACTATATTGTTTTGCAGACTTATTCTCCATCTTAATTCACCCTATGTATGGTTATAGATGTGCGCCCACACTGCCGTACCTGAAAGACTCATTTTACTTCTTGTAATGTTCTACATAATGAATCAAATAAAACCAGTTTAGCTTGCAAACTAATGAGCACTGTCATGATAAATACAGGTCCCTGAAGCCATTTTTATTGACAGTTTTCAAAATCTGCCTGCCCTCTACATATTTTTTTTTCCCTGAGGTCAGAGAGGAATTTGGTATCAACTCTGAGGTTAGGAACAGTTGGGATCTAGTCCTGCAATCTTCTGTAAAGTACTTTCTGTTTGTTAATTAGGAGATTACTTATTAGCAGAGTAACATAAAAGCTCATCACACAACGGCTTTACTGCTAGACTGCTGTAGTGTTGGAAAATGCTAGATAACAATAAATGGTGCAGGTTACAGGTGGTAAGCAAAACGTCAGGAGGTCTGCTTTCAAACTGCACACATTCAAGCTTGGCAGTGGTGTGTTACCTTCTACTGCCAGATCAGATATTCACCCCACAACAACTCCCCTTCCTACATGAAATCTCTACTAACATAACACGCTAACAGCTTCTTCTGGAAGTGAAACATGCAGGACCACAAGTGAAGCACCCCTAAATACAAACAAAGAAGCTGAACAATCAGCAAGCTAAAACAGAGTTAAGATAATCAGCTGAAACATTGAGGAACAACAAGAAAATAACAAGAAATAACATATAACACAAAACAACACCAAAGACAACTTCAAACAGCACATACTCCATGTGTGTGTACGAAGGAAGACTATGGGATAACAAATAATTATATATATTGTGATTTTGAGCAGTTAGGTATAATGTTTGTTAACACTTCTTTACAAATAATGAAGCGGGACTAGGGAATAAATGAAGTTAATAGACTTGAGTTAATGGGCTCTTAACAGGGGAGTTGAAAAGAGAAGCTAGGCATCTTTCTTTATGGATATGTGCCCAATATATTGCACCCTTCTTCCCTAATGGGAAGAAAATATAGATAAGTCCAAAAAGTAACACCTTTTCATTTGTTGATTTGTTTTAAGTTTATGACTTGTAAGTTATGAAGCTACTTCTAAGGAAAATGCCTAAATGGTTCTAGTTGCTATTGGCAACAGTTTTGATTTTTGCTGAAAATAGCGGGAAGGCTCCCATCAACTACAGAGGGTGCAGTGTCAGACTGCTCTGCCCTGCAGGTCCGATCTGACCTCTGCTGTGCCCTGATGAGCTGCTCAGATATGCAAATATTATGTCTTCTACTATCAAGTAGTAATAAATTATTTTCTACCAGCAAGTAATACACAATGTTATCACCATAACAACTTGATAGCTATTTGAGAACTGTGACAGCACAGGACTTGCCAGGCTGCAAGTTCTTCTGTTTCTTCATAATGGTGCTACTTGAGTTAGAAATCAATTACAGAGCTTTGAGAGTAAATAAAAATCTGTAGTATTAGACAAATAATTGCCAAAATTGGCCTTGTTTGTGGTAATAAGTGCATTTAATGGCAAAGCACTTAGCACAGTGTAGACATTCCTTTCCCTGAGCCTATTGTATTTAAATATTTCTAACCAAATTATGTGGATATTGTAATTTTAGATTCTTCCTTGAATCATACTGCAAATCACTTGGGCTAAATATGTCAGTCTGAGGGCAACAGGATCTGTACAGAAAAAGAAGCAGGTTCATACACATTTTGCATGATATTCATATTTACATGTTATTCCTCCAAAAAAGAGGACCATGCTGTGCCAAAATATATTTATGAAAATATTCAGTGATGGTAAAACTGAATCATAATGCCTGTCTAAATAAATATAAAGTTCTAGAACTTAGTATTTTTATGAAGATGCATTTGAAGCATTCTTAGTATTTGTCAGATAACCTAGACACCCTCCCCTCAACTTTGTATGTTACAGTACCTTCAGAAGACACTTCTTGAATCAAAGACAGTGAAAGGATCACCAGGGATACACAAACTATGTTCCATATGATCATTACTTTCAGGTACGACATCATCCCTAAAAAGAAATAATCTCACATCATTACATGCAATTCAATTAATCAGTTCATAATTTTAAAAAAATTGCAGTGCATATCTTTATACATAATACTAGTTTAATAACAACATAAAATAATACTAAAATTATTCAAGTACAAATTGTTAAATTAGAATTACTCCATAAATCCTTTCTTGGTTATTAGTTGATTAACTGTTAAATTTTGTAGTAAGACTAGGAAAATACATTATTAACAAATAACGGAAGTAATTTTTTGCAGAATTCTGTTATGTGAAAACTACAGTCAGAGTCTTCTCCTTTTAACATGGATGCACTTCATTACAACAGTTTCTAAGGTTATAATACTGATAAATGTAAATGTAAAGTAAAAAAAAATACTGTCAAAACATTAGTTATTAAGCAACATAATTTTATAAACCATAATCTATCATTGAAATATTAGTGTTTCAATATGTCAAATAGAAATGTAGGATAAAAGTAAATCTTCTTTCAAAAGGAAAACTTGTCTGTTTTTTCTGTTCCAGTTCATCATTTTCCTTTTGAAGAAGAGCACTTTGATCAAAATGCTCAGAGTAGAGATAGGTATTACACTTACCTAACAAAGAAGATGTCTGCTCTCAGTGATGTTTCAGATGCCTTATATATTGCTTTGTAACTATGCTGAGGTTAACTAATTAGCTTGTTAAACATAACCACCAATGACAGCTTATGACAGCAAACTTTCCACATGAGTTGGAACATGTCCCAGATGACTAGACTAACACAACATCTGGAAAACACTCCCATTAAGAAAAATGATTACAGAAAAAACTAAACAGGGACTTACTAGTCAAAACACATTTTGATTACTGAGTGAAATGAACAAATTGTCCTGAATGCATCTGGAAGGCATTAGATATATTGCATAGCAATAAAAAATCATTATAGGCAAATGCTGAGTATATTTTCTTTCCTGTCAAATGTAGCTTAGGTGACAGTAGCCTAAAATTATGCAGTATTATCTGCTACTGATAGTGTATCTTCTCCAAAAAGTTTTGAGATCTAATTCGTGCAGTCATAAGTAATTCGTCAGTTCTGCACTAAATATATAGTACTTTTCCCTGAACTGAATGGAAATTTTGGCAAGGTATTGGCTAGAATTTATCTGGCAAAGAATTTAGCTGAATCTCAAATTTATTAAATATAATATATGTAAAGCATCAAAAATGAATGAGAGAGACTTAAATTGTTTCAAAGGTCTTTGTGTTTATTGGTTCCAGATTTGGGGTACTGGAAATGGTTATTTGCAACTGTCTCTCAGAGCTAAAGGAGGTTTAAGTCAAAACTTTTAATGGTCCTGACTCTTGGAGTTTGGGGGGATTTTTTTTATTCAGAAACTATCCTAAAGGCCAGGGAACTTTGATGCTTCTGTCTCATGATATTACTTGAATCCCAAAGTAATTCTGTTATCCCAAAATAGTAAATATGGTATAATGTGCATTGATCCCAATTGAGGAAAGCACTTAAGCATGAACTTGAGTCTCTTTAGGAAAATAATGTAGACTCCTCTGAAAAGGAGTGGGTTTAGACATGTGCTTGAATGTTTTCCTCACTTGGTCTGATGATTGTGCATCTTTAGTATTTTTATACTAGAATTTCTTTCTAATTTCTGTATTATCACAATAGAGGCAGTTTCATTCCATCTTTCTGCATTGTGGACACTTCTAATTGCTTTCATATCACAGTCACACTTCAATTAATTGATTCCAGGTAATAAAAGGGTGCTTTTTTGTTGCTCTAGGAACACATATAATCTTTGTAAAAGTTTCTAGACTTATTTAGACAAGTGTTAAGTGGGAGCACTTACATAGTGTTGATTTGCTGTTCAAGGTTCTCTGCCCACTGCTAACCTGCTTATGAAGTAACTATTTCTCTGCTTTGTGGAAAAGGGAACCTGAGGCTCTGAGATTTTATGGAGTTTATTCAAGGTAATACACAGAAGGAAATATACATTACATGTCTCATAACAAGAACTTCAATGCTGTCTTTAGTGGAGCTGACTATAAGCTTAATAAAGAAAATCTGTGGTTTGAGAAGAAAGGTACCTGTATGGATATTTAAAGCCTAGGGGAGAAAAAGTTGTTAGGGTAGCTAAATAGGATCAACATGATGAGATAGGTTTTCTAGAAAAGTACTAAAATCCTCATACCTTAAATAATTTATAATTTGATCAAGCAAACCATTTAAGACTACATACATTATTGAGTATATCCTTACTTTGATATCCATGATACGGAGAAGATCTGTTGACTTTTCCATCATCTGACAGCCAGTACAGCTGTGAGTCCCGGTTAATACTGGCTAGCTACCTGAGGTGAAAGTATACATACACAGTAGTAAATAAAAAGTAACAGAAGCTCAAAATTATTATCATGCTTCTGTTAACATGTCAGTACTCAGTTAAGTCATATGAAGACAATTAAGTGCATACACAACTTGAAAATATGGGTAGTTATGATTGGCTGCTACATTTATTATGTGTTATGGATATGTTCATTTTGGTAGGGTTGTATTGCTTCATTTCTCTTATGAACTAAGTTTTTGGATCGTCAGAGGTGACATGGGGTTGCAAAGTTTGAGTGATGAGATGAGTTCCCAAACTGTAGTTACCGGGTTTCAATTGCAGTTATCTTCATTTGGAGTGTGTGTTTGTTACAGTTGAATGACTGTTAGGTGGTCATTAAAGTTTCTTTAGCATTAGTTATACAAGCTTTGAATAGAAACTGATACTGCACAGTGTTTCCTTTCCTTCAGGTCAATGTAATTTTAGCTAGCAGCATCTGACAAAATATGCTGGATTTTTACCAACCTTTGTGGGTTTCATTTACTTTTGTGATACATGAAAACTGAGGTTGTCATAAATTTGCTGTTACCTGTGCAGAAAAAAATATATTTGAAAATCTTTGTATGGCTCTTCCTTATAGTACTTTTCTCTATGTAGTTAAATATTAATTTAGAAGAACATACTTTTTGAAAGACTGGTTGAAGGTGAAATAGGAAGGCTTTTCTGGAGATTAAAGTACTCAAGTAGGAAACAAGTTCAGATTGACTTCCAGTTCTGTTACAGGCTTGGTGTCTGAGTTTTAGTCAAGTCATTTATGCTGAAGGGTAAAACAGGATTTTCAGAAGTGCCAGTTAAATACTTTCAAAAAAATCTCTTTTTTTTTTTATTTTATAACATATACATTATTAAGCTCCTTTTGCAGGTAGGTCTAACCTCCATGTATGCCGTATGGGATAATTCCATAAGTGGATTAACAGGACGTGAAAAGACACCTTTAAATTGTAGTGTCACAGCTCCATTGAAATGGTATCTTATGCTGGCATTTCCCAGTGTGTGATCAGGCAATGGTAAAGTGGGGTTTGTATCATGACCAGCTTCTGCCAGTCTGCCCTTTACTTTCAGGGAGGGACTTCAAAGTCCTGCTTTAAATTATTGTCATGGTTTCTGGGAGGCGGTAAGAAATATGCTAAAATATGGACACAGTCAGGGCACTCATGATGGACAAAGTTTACTTGCTACTGTTTTGCAAAGGTTTGTGTGCCAGTAAAAGGGGCTGTAAGAGTAACAATGAAACAGTAAGCAGGGAACTGCATGGATGGGGAGGGTGAGGTGAGGACACATCTCAACTATTTTTGGGTTGAGCTCCGTCTGAAATGGACTGGGAGCTGTAAAAAAAGGGAAAGTACAAAATGTTCCACTTCCTTATTTTTATTTCTGCTGCATTCAGGGAAACAGGACTCATTACATTCCTGATGAGTAAATAAAGATACGTGGCTTCACCACCATTCTTCTTCATCTTGGAGCGACATATGGGACCTAATATTGTGGTTAGCCACTCCAGTTGGAAAGAGATAACGTTATTTTTTGTCTGCTACTTGGTTGCTTCAGTTAAGTATCAACTGACCAGTCATTCAATTTGGCAAGGGTTTCAGGCAACATAAACCCTTCATTAAATCTTGTCAGGTGTATCCAAAATCTTACCTGTATTTCCTAACTTCATTAGTTGATTGCATGTTTTTTAAAAAAGAAGAAAAAAAAAAAGCCTTTCCCTACAAACCCTGCTTTGCTTACATATTGAGATCATCGTAGTCACAGTACTATTATTATTGTCTTTTATTTCTGGATTAATGGATTCCTTACATTGATGCCCATGACTCAGCTGTATTCTTATGCCTCTTCAGGCCTTGGATTTTTCAGAAGCTCATCAGTCAGTCACATTTATGATAGTGGTTTTGGGATGTGTTCATATCCACTGGGATAATGGAAAATGTAAGCCAGTGAAATCCAAGAAAATGGTCATTGATCCCACCATTGATCCCCATTGTTAACCCATCAGTATCCTCAAAATATCATGTAGTTTTCATATAAAAACTAAGTTACGTTTGGAGTGATCTGAACCCCTGTGAGAACTCAGTTGGCTATAAGAGCAGCTGGGGTGTCCCAGCAGAAGTTATATAGAGAAACTGAGCTGAGCAAGAGTGAAGAAAGTCAAAAGAAAACAAAAGAGCATGTATTTAGAGTAGTGTTGGTCTGATAAATATTCACTGATTAGTGTACCTCTTTTTAATCTTTAACTTAGAAGGAATCATAGAAGGAATTTAATTGAAAGTTAAGTGAGAGTGCTGGAAGTCTCCTTAAATGAGTTACTAAGAAAAATTATGAAGAATTGCAGAAAACTTTTGCTCTTGCAGGAAGAACTGGCACACTTCCAGGTTAACAGTATTGGAGGGGTGAGGAAGGAGAATGATGCAGAGGAAGTAGAAGCTCTAATGTGGGAAGGGCATGGGATTACAATTAATTCTTCTGGGACATCTGATAATTGATCAAAGGACACTTCCCTGTATTGGCTTCTACAATCAGTCACCTTCTTCCATGTCAGAACTGGCTACATTTTATTGGCGTATTTTATTTGACTATAGCAAAAAAATGTTAATTTTGAAGAGCACTTAAATATGCTGACTTTTAAGACAGAGGAATATTAATACCATTGCTTTTCTGTGATTTGAGTAGTATGAGTAGCAGTAGTATTGCAATGAATTCCGCTGTAGCAAGCTGCTGTAATAAGGGTCAGATGGTCACATGCATCATCCAGTTGATGTAAATATAGACTTATTGCATTTCCAATTCCTAAAAAGTTGAGGGAATTGTTTACAAGTAAGAAGTAGAGAGAAAAATATGACTTAGAAATTATATTTGTCCACACAGTGATAACAGATGAGCCCATAATGATAGGTGGAAGATGAAGGACAGAATCTGCATGTTTGTGTTATTTTTAGAGTACTACCTAAATCAGTAGGAGAAATCTTTTTATTCCAGAAGAGCTTTATACTCAGCGCAGCTGCAGACATTACTGAGTATCTTGAAGAGGAGGAGGAGGAGCCGGTCTGCTGGCCGTTTACATCTATAGATGTACATAACTTGACTTCCTCTGGAGCCTTGACCCTAAGACCATCACTTCATAGCTATCATAACGTTTCTAAGTGGGTGCTAACTATTTCCTCTAAAAGTTCTTTACAGGTTTTTATCCCCAAGCTAGAGCATGGATTTACTTGAACTAGGCTGGAATCTCATTTTGGGTGGAATGCATGCTCTGATTCATA